TGGGTGGCCCTATAAATTTGATCAATCAGTCAATCAATCAATCAATCAATCAATCTCCTTTGGAAGACTTGCTCCCCCACAAATGGCCTGGGTGTGGCCTGTCCCCAAACACGCAAATACCTCCCCCTCACAGCAAGATACTGACTCCCATCCTAACAGAGCCTTTGCAGAGCCCAAAATCACTCCTGCTAATAAATGTGAAGCTAGAGGATTATGCTTTCTTTTGTAGCATGCCATTTACCTATTTAATTTACTCTTTAAGGCAGGTGAGGCTGGAAGCCTTCTTTCATGACAGATGCATTGGAGAAAACAAAACCAAACTCCATCAGACCCAGTATTGCTCTACAAACAGCAGCATTTGTATAGATTTGCACATTCCTCGCTGCTCCTCCGAATAAAAATAACAAAGAGGTAAAAAATGCCCTGAAGGGTTCCTTGCACACCTGTTCAGACAGCATTGGCCTTTGTCTTCTGTTGACTTACTGGTAAACGTGATATTGAAGCCACGCTTCTCGGTGGAGTGATCGGTCTGGAATTCCAACCTGGCGATATGGCCGCTGCTGGTCAGAGAAGATGGGAGTTGGCTTCCAGAGAAGGTCCCAAGGGTGGGTGATTCAGCTGTTCCACCATCCTTCACTGCCAAGAAGTCAAACTGAGGCTCCACATCAAAATCATTAAAGGCCAAATGGATCCGGCTTTCAGGTTTTGCGATGATTAGCCAGACGCAGTGTAAGGTGCTACCATATTCCTCCGGGTAGTTTGGGGAGAGCACGATCCCAGATGGGGTGGTGAAATTGAAGAAACAGGAAACTGCAAGGAAAAAAGAAAGGAAGGAAGGAAGGAAGGAGAGGGAGGAAAGGCGTGTCATTGTGCATGCAACTTAAACAAATGGATTTAATGCAAGTTCCTTGCATCTCAGGAATATAAAGGGAACGTAAAGAAAAGGGGAAAATGAAAATGAAACTAAAGAGTTGCTATCTTGTCCGTTGAAGTATAAAGAAGGGGGAAGTTATCTATTTCTCCAAGCAGCTTCCCCCCCCCTTTTTTTTTAAATTTTGCTTTGTTTTCTTTTCTCCCTTCTTTTGAATATTCATAAACAACAACAAACAATAATACATTGGAGATCTCCGTATTAAGTATCAAGCTAAAGATAGAAATCCTTGTTATATTACAAAATAATGATATGCATTTCACAATAGCCTATCAATGCCACACTTAGCTTTAATGGTACACTTTCAGCAACCTTACGTTCATTAACATCTCAGAATTACCATTAATATTGATATAAACTTTTTTTCTTCTTATCTTCAAATGTTTAGGCTATCTAAATTATTATAATGTCAACAATGTTTAGGTTTTTTGTACAAATATCACCGTACTTAGCTAATATCTGAATTCTATAATGTAATACATCTCATGTGAGGTTCACATTTTCTACAACCCAGTCTCAATAAATAAGTGGCAGTTTTCAAAAGGATTTTGGTTTGGGGAAAAGGAGGTCTGAATTCAAAGCTGAAAATGTAATAAAGGAAGACGCAATATTTATTGGCCCTAAAAGGGTTTCCTGCTCATTTGCCTTAAAGGATGAGTAACTGAATTGAGAAACACACTCTTTGTGTCAGTTAAAACTGTACATGAAGTTCTGGAAAACAACTGAGCATTTGAGACTTAAGAATGTTATGTAAAATACGAGATACGGCAATTGGAGATGACAAAATAATTTGGTTCCTTCAAGCCGTCCAAGTATATTTGTGTATTTGCTGGAACAACACTGGCAGTGTTTTAAATAACCCTGAGGAAGGGCAAAACAAAATGAAGGAATCTCTTACTTTTGATCTGGGTAATGTAATCAAAGTGGATGTTTGGGGATATTATGAAGTTTAACGGGCACGATAAGAATGTGCCTACGTAGTTTTTACTAGAGCACGCTTGAAATAATTTTCTGGCGAAACATTCTGAAGCTGACCACTGACAGTGATTTAATAATTGGTAGCATAAAATCAAACATTACATTAAAATGCAAATTCTTATACAAGGGTATGCCCAGTTTTTGTTTCTATTGCAGGCTTTTATTTTCACTGATTTGTTTTTAGATTCATAGTGCTGCTTTTCCTTCAGGAACTCAAGGGGGCATAAAGGAATTCTTCCACTTTCTGTGAAAGAAGCATGGGGGAAGTTTCATTTACGGGGAACAAAGACTAATGAAGTTAGAAGAGATTCTTTAAACTACACATTAACCATGTTATCTATTCTATAAATGCCGAGCCAAACTTTTTCAGCAAACCAAGGCTGTTTACTTACTCAGAGTTGCAGGGGACCAATGTTAGCAATAATTCATTCAAAGCTAGGCAGATCAGATATTTTAAATATTTAACATGGCATCTTCAAATTATACTTCTATCAGTGGGTTTTCATGAAACTCTTCAGACCCCTATTGGCTTGTCAGCTCAGTTTATTTATCAGTTCAGACCAGCTTTCAGGTCAAATTCCTATTTCATCACAGCCGTGTGGAAGTCATTTTCTTGCAACACATTCACGTTGATCTGTTCGTGGATATATATTGGAGACGCATGGATGGAATCCATAATACGTTCCCTCTCAGACACCTCCCATGCACACTCCCACAGATACACACACTGGCATGAAATGAAGCAGCAGAAATGGTTCAGTACAGTTCTTGATCAAGTCGCCACAAGATGACCTGGCCTTGATATCTCCAACTACAGATTTAGAAGGATCAAGCAGAGGTAAGTAAAATTAACCCAGAAGCATCCCTGACTCCTCCTTTGTGGCCTTCCAGCACTCAAAGATCCTGCTGCTGAAATTTGGTGACAAAATGACTGAATTTGGCCTGGTCTGGGGGCTATCTATATGACGTTGAATAGCTACCAGATTGACCCCTTTTGAAAGCCATTAGCTCGAGTTTCAGACTCAGACCTATCAAATTTATTCCCATCTCTTCCCTAGGCCAGTTTTGTTTGCGGTAGTACATCCGAAAAGTCAGGCCCAGTCAAGAAAAATGGTTAGCTACAGTTTTATAGATTGGTGGGAACAGATTTGGAGGGAGCTAAGGTCTCTGTTCAAAAGTTCCTTCCCAAAAACAATGTGATAACTTATGTACAATCCTCCAGATGGCATTACTCCCATTACCAAAATCTATCCAAGTATGAAGAGAAAAAAGAGGCAACTTATGATTTTTGTCTTGGAACACACACACACATAGACACACACACACACACACACACACAGCCAAGCTATGCATATGATACTGAAAATGGTACTTGCTACTCACGTGAAAAGAAAACCTATAGTGAAACCAATGGAATAATTTTCATTAAGACATGAAGCTGTCCTGTTTAAACTAATGCTTGCTATGGACAGAGCAAAGCAAGCAAAATTTGTTTTGCTCTCTATAACAACATCTCTTTCAAGGACAAATATGTTCTATCTTTATTTCTTTAAGCATTTGCAATGTTTAAAAAGACTCTAGATATACATTTTTGCAAGCGCCTTTCCTAATATACCTTCCCTTTTGGTAAATAATTTTCCCTAATGTATACAATGTTGTATGCACTTTTTATAATGTTCGTGTTTTTATTCCAATATTTTGGAATATTGAACAGCAAACCACCAGATTGCACTTCAGTTTGCATAACTACTTCAAGTAGCACCAGAGTAGATCTATATTTATTTTATTAATGTATTAAACAAATGTACATAGCCATCTGTCTTGACAAATATAACTCTCGGTGACAAATAAAACATAAAGCCCAATTAAAAAAAAAAATCAAGTCATGTCCACCTTAAGAGTTCTCCAACAGGATAAAACAATACAGACATGTCAGCTCCAGTAACATCCTGGCCCCAATACCTGGGGAAAAGCCAGATCTTCAAGTCTTCCGGAAGGCCAGCAGGGTGGGGGATAGCCGAACCTCAGGGGGGAGGTTGTTCCATAAGGTTTGATTGAATTGTAAACCAAACAACTTTTGCCCAGTTTCTACTTATAGACTCTAACTAAGGACAAATGGCCCAAGGCAGCTAAAAGGATAATCAGATAACATGGCACATCCCCATTTACCATTCCAATCAGAGGGAGGAGATAAATTAGATAGGATCAATAGAAGAAAGTATCTTGTAGCTCAGGGTTGAACTGTGGAGTTCTTGGTGCTCTCTAAGCTTGGTTGTTTGCTTGTAGATATTTCATTACCCAACTAGTATCATCATCATCACCACCACCGCCACCACCACCACCCCACTGATGATGTTAGCTAAGTAATGAAATGTCTGCAAGCAAACAACCAAGCTTAGATAGGAGCTCTAACCAATGAAGGAGGGCAAGCTGAATTTATTTGTTAACAAACTCAAATGGATTACAATACAGCACAAGCCTCCAGCTAAAGAAAGCTGAACCAAAATCAGTGCCACACTTCTCATGATCTCCATGGTAGACCCATAAGATAACATGTGAAGAAGCTAAGGGAAGCCATGGAGACTGATGGAAACAAGACAACCCATATAGGAGAAGTGGAAAAAACTTAGCCCTTGCTGACATGATACTAGCAGCCCCAGATCCTTTTCTGAGCATCTCCCAAGTCTAGAATGAGTGTGAGAACAGGTCAAGAGTCAGAGGGCTGAAACATGCAGAAGCCTGAGACTGTATGGAAAGGACTAAAATTCACATCTTTGTGTTGTCATTTCCAAAATCTTGTGCTTTTCTCATAAAAATGGAATTATACTGAGGAAGAATTTAGAGTCATTGCAACAGCACCTTCCTATTTCTGTTCTTCAACCACCTTGGATATGCTCCAAGGAAGAAAACTGGAGTATAAATTAAATCTTCTATAAATAAATGGGTACAGAGATCCCTTAGAATTGGAATATACCTGTAACAAAGAGAAGCCAATTTCCATTTTTTTTTTTTTAAATTTCTTGTAAAGTCATCTCCACCCCTTGGGATGACAAATTCCATAATACAACCCCACCTTGTGTGAAGGAGCAATCTCTTTTGTCTGGAGTGAAATCCCACCATTCTGTTTACCTGAATGTCACTGGACTTGGCTGTTATAAGAGGTGGGGGAAAAGACTTTGTCCTATCCATTTCTGTCCACAGTCGCATTGTGTGAGCATCTTTTATCAGAGGTTCAAAGATGGAATGCCTGCAGCCATCTCTGCTCATTATGAGAGAGGACAGCATGGCCCTTTTTCCAACCCGTCAAATAACCATTTTTAGAATATGGGGGCTACATGTTCCTCCTCCTTCCCCACCTTTCCCCAAACTGCAAGCTCTCTTTCTCCTCCTTCTCTCTTCCTCAGGATTCCTGGCTGCTTTTAAATACAAAGTTATCCCTTCTGCTTATCAAGCAGCTGGACTTTCTACCATGCCTTTCTCCAGTCCTCCTGGGCTTAATTCCAAGCAGCTGCTGTGGGTGGAAACCAAATTCTATCTCTCCCTTGGACTTGCCATGATAATTTCATACACCTCTATCACACTCCCCCCCCCCCCGCATCCAGCAAAGGGGTTCCAGCGTTCTGCAGACAGCAGGCAAGGATGGTTAGCCACGTACCACGCAAGGCCTAAGAAAAAGTCCGCCCTGCGTGCACCGAGCAGAGTGGAAGGAATCTGCTGCTCAGAGGCCAGCGAAGAGAGCAACTGTGTTCCAGCTTCTGACGTGCACCTCCATGCCGACTTAACGCAAAACTGCTCCCTATCCTCCGCCATTAGGCCATCGTTAGGAGGGGGACCAGCAGCTTGAGCTAACGAGGTGTGAAGCCAGATGGTGGGAAAGTAAAGGCAATTAAGAAAAAATGTT